CGACAGGCTTGCCGCGGCGCTGCGCCGCGAACCAGGCCCGCATGTTGAAGCGGGCGTGCAGCACGCTGCGCACGTCGTGCGCAGCCGCCAGGGTCTCGATCAGCGGCGCCAGCGCCTCATTCAGCAGCCGGTCGTCCACGTCGCCCCTGGGGTGTGAGGAGAAAGGAGGAAAAGCGCGGATCAAAGAGTGTCCTTTTGGGGACGAGGGCTGGGTCCACGGGGGGGCGGCGAAACACAGAGAGATGGGCCCCTTTCACTCCCCAGGCCTGCCTCCAAGTCGTGATCACTCCCATCCACTCCTCGCATCAGCAGCACCTCCCAGTCAACACACCCCCCCCCCCTCTCTCATACCCCACCTGAACTGCAGGACGGGGATGCCGTTGTCGGGCTGGAAGGAGAAGGCCAGGGGCGTATCGTCCACCAGCACGGTCCGCCCCAGCGGCCGCCCCAGCCGCGCCAGGTCCTTGACGCAGGGGTAATCGGCGCTGGGCACGGTGGCCGGCCTGTACAGGCGGTGGTGGAAGCAGGCGGGGTAGCGCGCCTCCAGCTCGTCGCAGATGGGCACCGCGTATTCGGCCAGCCCGGCGGTGAAGAGCACGACCTCCGCGCAGCGCACGCAGCGCGCCAGGAACTCGCCCAGGCCCGGGCGCTCGACCACGACCACGCCGGAGGGGTTGAGGCGCGAGCCGCGGCCCACGCTGTAGGCCACCGCGCCGCGCGGCAGGATGGGCACGCGCGCGGGGGAGAAGGTCGTCACCAGCGTGCCGTCCAGGTCCAGGCAGACCACCAGTCGGGCGGGCGGCGCGCCGGGGTCCAGGGGGGGCAGCAGCGGCGCGTCGGGGGCCGGGGCGTCGGCGGTTTCCGGGGCGGGCGGGGGGCCAGTGAGCGCGGGCCCAGGGGCCGCGCCGACGACCACAGGCGGCGGCGCGGCCGGGGAGAAGCTGGGCAGGACCGGGTCGAAGCCGGTGTCGTCGTCGATGGCGCCCAGGCTGGGGCGGCGCGGCGGCGTGGAGGGCGGCGGCACGGGTCCCGCCCAGCGCCCCGCCGCGCCGGCGGGGATGGCCACCGCGCGGGCGGCGGGGCGGGGCGGGCGGACCCCGGTGTCGCTGGCGCGCTCGCGCGACTCCTCCTCCT